GAAAGCAGAGAATACCAGAAAGATGTTTACCTGTGTTTTATTGACTATCCAAAGGCATTTGACTGTGTGGATCATAACAAATTATGGATAACATTGTGAAGAATGAGAATTCCAGAACACTTAATTGTGCTCATGAGGAACCTATACTTAGACCAAGAGGCAGTCATTCGAACAGAACAATAGAATACTACGTGTTTTAAAATCAAGAAAGGTGTGTGTCAGGGTTACATCTTTTCACCATATTTATTCAATCTTTATACTGAGTGTCATGGAGTGAATTGTGTCCCCCACAAATATGTGTATCAACTTGGCTAGGCCATGATTCCCAGTATTGTGTGGTTATCCACCATTTTGTCATCTGATGTGATTTTCCTATGTGTTGTAAATCCTATCTCTATGGTGTTCATGAGATGGGATTAGCGGCAGTTATGTTAATGAGGCAGGACCCGATCTACAAGATTGGCTTGTGTCTTGAGCCAGTCACTTTTGAGATACAAAAGAGAGAAGCAAGCAGAGAGGCATGGTTACCTCACACTACCAAGAAACAAGAGCCAGGAGAGTAGCACATCCTTTGGACCCAGGGTCCCTGCTCTGAGAAGCTCTTCGACCGAGGAAGATTGATGACAAGGACCTTCCTGCAGAGCCAACAGACAGAAGGCCTTCCCCTGGAGCCGATGCCCTGAATTAGGACTTCTAGCCTACTAGACTGTGAGAGAAGCAGCAGTCAAGAAATCAAACGACATATTACATTGGGCACTTTGAGGACTAAGGTGTGCCTGACCCAAGCCAGGCTATTTTCAGTTTCCTCATATGTGTGCGAAAGCTGCCAATGAATAAGGAAGACCAAAGAAGAATTGATGCCTTTGAATTAATTATGGTGTTGGCGAAGAATGTTGAGTATACCATGGAATTCCAGAATAACAAGTCCGTCTTGGAAGAAGTACAGCCAGGGTGCTGCTTGGAAGCAAGGATGGCGAGACTTGTCTCTTGTACTTTGGACATGTTATCAGGAAGGACCAGTCCCTGATAACATCATGCCTGGTAAGGTAGAGGGTCAACGAAAAAGAGAAAGACCCTCAACAAGATGGACTGACACGGTGGCTGCAACAACGGGCTCAAACGTAGCCACGATTGTGAGGATGGTGCAGGACCGGGCAGTGTTTCATTATCTTGTACATAGGGTCACTATGAGTCAGAAACAACTCAATGACACCTAACAACAACAATAGGAAAAGAAAAAAAACACACAAACTCATTGCCATCGAGTTGATTCCGACTCATAACAAACCTCTAGGACAGAGTAGAACTGCCCCATAGGATTTCTAATGAGCGGCTGGTGAATTTAAACTGCCGACCTTTTGGTTAGCAGCCCAGCTCTTAACCACTGCACCACCAGGCCTTCAGCAACAACAATACCAAAACCAAAAAACCAAACCTGTTGCCATCGAGTTGATTCCAACTCATAGTGACCCTATAGAACAGAGTGGAACTGCCCCACAGGGTTTCCAAGGAGTGCCTGGTGGATTCGAACTGCGACCTTTTGGTTAGCAGTGTAGTTCTTAACCACTATGCCACCAGGGTTTTCACAACAACAACAGTAAATAGTAAATAAAAGAATTGTCACAAGGTAGAGGGTGGATTCTAACAGGTTGCTTTCCTTTACTGGGAAAGTTTTTCCTTTTCTGTTTGCCTCTCCCATATACTTTCTGAGATAGTGCCTTTCAGAAATTTAATTTCTTTTGTTTTTTCTATGATTTTTGTTTCTTTCAACAGCACCTTGTGTTTATTTGTACAAGGTACTGTGGTAAGGTGTCGCAGGGAGCAAGTTAAAAGAGCACAGCTTTTGCCATAGGAGGTTTTTTAAAAATTATTTTAAGTAGACCTCTTCAAACAAACCATTCCTCTATCAGAGGTGCTGATTTGTGTCTTTAACTGGCTCTACATTCTACATTTCCTTTTTTTGGCCTCATTTTATGCTGTTTATGAGCACTCTACTTCTTGGTAATCAAAAGACCTGAGTTCTCAACTCAAGTGTGCTGCTAGTGCACTGTGTGACTTTAGGAAAATCAAGTGACACCCCTGCCCCCACCGGAATTCAGATTTCAGATCTGTAGAGCAAGGGAAACTAGTTTAGAGGATCAACTGGTCATCACATAGATGTTTATTAGCTTTCTCCTAAGATTGCTTCCAGTTTTAAAATTCAGAAGTCTATCTCATCATACTTAACATCCAGATTAATGGGCCTTCTAGATGATCTTTCTGATTTTAATATTTCTTTCCATCATTACCAACAGAATGATTTCTGTATGATTGTCTATAATCTGGACCAACCTTCCTGTGCTATCTTATTTCCCTGTGTAGTTCCTTAGAAACCATTTCTTCACTCTCCTCCGAACATGTTTTGCCATTCAGTGCCTCGCAGCCCCTTGTCTAAAGCTTTACATCCTTCAGGGTCCATCTCAGGTCCCTTTTCTCCCCCAAATCTTGCCTTCAACTTCAGCCCACATTAATCACTAAAAACTTGCACAGACAATATTGTAGGCATTTCCCTTTTTGCTTCTGGCTCCCTCCATTTCCCATCATCCCCATCTCCTAGCTACACTGGGAGCACGAACTGTATGCTTACCCCATGCCTGCTAGTTTATTTTGTTTTTGTTTTTAATTGCTTTGTAAACTGAATTTCCAATTTAAAACTCTCATCTAACCCCTTTTCTTCTTTCAATCATTTAACTAAGCATATGCCAGATTGTTTTTATTAGTTTCGAGAGGTGTGTTAACAAGTATTAAATTAAAAAAAGGTTTGGTGGGTCAAACAAGTTTGAGGGAAAGCTATTTAAATAAAATTGAGCATTTGTGTAGTATTTCACTGCCTTTACTATGCTTGGCATTTCCCAAAGTTGTTTGGCCATAGACTCCATTTACTCTTGTGGAACTTCTTGCCTCATTAGTGTTCCACAGAACAGACTTCAGTAAACACAGCTTCAAAGCTTTCCCTTACTGGAGAAAGCCCTGTGTAGTAAAAACAATGAGGTCATGAAGCCACTCAAACTTAGGTTTTAATCCTGATTTACTACTAGCAACATGACTTTAATCAAGTTACTTCACTTTCTAAGCCTGT